AGGACAAAAGGCGGAACCCTGTCTCCATCAGGATACGTCAGCGATTGACATATACTTGCCAAAGGCTGCCCAGATAATCGGTGTGCGGAAATCTTATGTTAGTTATGTTACTCTGATACGCTACATGCAGCTGCGCCAGGGCGTTCATTCCTCAGCTGTTTCGCCTCTATCACCTGCTCTACTTGTGTGTGACTCCTCACCGCAGACTGTCTGAGTGGTCTTTTACATTCTCACGTGTAATACTCCCTAAAAAGAGATGTCCACTGGACATCAGTGAGAAAAATAACGTGTCCTGCCCAATAGATTGTACTGTCTAGCATGGCTACAATGAGATTTCGTACAAATGCATATATTTGCAATGCTTGTTTTTAATGGGCAAAAAGTCTTTTTTTGAGGTTTAATAGTTGGGGAGAAATCAATGTTGAAAATTTCTCACTAAAATGTATAACTCGGTGTGCGATCCGGAAAGAAGTCCAACAGACGCAAAAAAATCAGCGCACGGAGCGATCCGGAAAGTTCTTCTTCGACACTGGCGTATCATCGATCGTGCACGGCTACAATTTTTCAATATCTGGCTGCTGATTTTCTCAGTTCTTCAAACTGGCCTTGTCAATTACCTGGTGCCGCAGGTTTGCTAGAAAATTTTTGAAGTAACGAGTGAATTTCAATTTTCCTCCAACTTTCGTAATCTGGTGTTTTATGAATGTTTAGTGACGGACTCTTGGTATACAAGGCCGTTTCCAACAAAACTTACGGAAAAGAGTTTGGCAACAGCCAGTCGAGCATATTTAAGACCAAGTCCATTTTTTCTTATTTAAGACCAAGTCCATTTTTTTTCCTGGATTTTTAACTTATTTCAATAAAATGACAACAGTGGCAAGCAAGCTGTTATTAACTTGCTCACGTTTCAGCAATGGTCCTTGTTATTCTTTTCGATTGCTGCACTTTTCATCCTTTATGTTTTATTCAGTTCAGTCGTCATTCGCTACACAGATGAGGTAATTTGCTTGCTTGCCAAGACTTATTTCCACTTGACAAAAATAATATACTATAATCGAATAGTCGGGGAGACGGTGACCAATTGTTTTTTTTTGCAGTGAGAGCTGAAATTCTCAATTTTTTAATGCTAGAAAGGAAAAAATAAAAATTTGTGAAATTCAGCTAAAGAAAAGTAATCAGAAAGCCCTTTTCTTTTTGTGAAGAACGCTGACGCTAGGATTTGTTCCGAGGATATCAAATGTCAACAGCGATTAACCGCTAGTAATTTTGCCGTTGATTTCGGGATTGCTTGCAAGCAAACTGACGAGAAGTTTGACTTCCTGGCGTGCCTAAGTGTCAGTTTGCTACCGAAACAAATGAGCGATTCGCAATGGAATTAGTTGTTCCACTGGCGGATCCAAACTTCCGATTTTGTGTACAACAGTGGTGCTTCTTTTCATTGTACCGTGTCCGCCAATGGTAATTTAATTGTAGTAAAAAGCAATTCATGCACATAAAATTCAACTGAGTACACCTTGCAGAGTGGTAACCTGAATGCTACAGTATTTTCATTAATACTGGTCATTATTTTTCCCGTTTTTATCTGGACAACTTACTTACCTATAGTTGCACAGGTACATCTTTACAAGCAGTGAGTTAAAATTAGCACTAACTTAGGGAGCCTTAGGAGTTAATAATTTACTGTGCATTGATCATACAAATGCCGACATATGTTGTTCTAAGTGTGCCAATAATCAATCTTATAAATCTCTTAGCTCTCGAATTATAAAATTTGCTTGAATGCGTTTTATCATAAAAAATTCCTGAGACTAGCCTCAAAGGTCCAAAAGAAAATAAAGGTCCGGGTTGCTGCTTTTGGAAGTAATTCAAAACATCTCCGATCTTTTAGCTCCGCGCGTCGTTTGCTGGGCCCGCAGGGAATGACCATTAAACATCTCCCCACCATTTGATTTGCTAGGCAGTGTGTCCACTGCTATTAGAGTTATTAGATTTGTGAAACATAAAATTATGGCAGAGCAATTTTTAAGTTTCAACAAATACTCGCTGTATTTTAACAGGAAGTGACCGGCGGCGATGTTGCGCAGATGTCCACCTTGCACGCTGGCCTGTGCATTTCCACCATTTTCCAATTCCTCACACTGCCCAGGCAACGGCGGCTTTTTGTTGCTGTTTCGGTAGCGTGGTCCGTGTATAACGTGCTATCTTGCGCAGTACTGATGTGGAATACAATTCGACAAAATCACTGTTTTTTCTTTGCGGTTAGTTTTTTGGTGATTTTTTTTAGCGTGCAGCTGGCAGAAGTCTGGCCTTTTGCAATGTGAAAGCACGTTTGGACAAGGTTGTGGGTGTGTTTATATATGTGTGTACGTATGTATTTGTATATGCGTTGTGTGTATGTGCGTGTGCTTATGTAATTATCATCATCTTATAATGCGACGTTCATTCTGACGAGGTGACAACTTGTAGCCAAATGCGCCAAAATATCCAAATCAGTTTTTCGGTTTCATTAAATTTTGAGGTACTTTACATTCACGATTTTACACATCAAAGCCAAATTCCAGCTTGTATCACTTCTGCTGGAACAGATTGCTTTGTTGTTCATTGGACTGGTAGCAGATGCAAATGAAGCTGGTAGCAGGGCCGATATATCGTTGCGGCTAAGCGAAGCTGTTACTCGACGAACCGAACTACAAACTCTGAAGGATCGTCAGGATCAACTACTGCTCTCCGTCATCCCCGCCTATCTCACTGATCGGGTTCGAAAAAATTTCAGAAATTTTGAGCATTCCGATGAGACTTTTTTCTGCAAAAAATAACTTCTGACAGTTTTATTTGAAGCACGCACCAGCGAGCACGACCATTTTTTAAAATACTTTTATGATGCAAATTTCTATCCTTGCAAAAGAAGTAAAATTTCTTGTTTTCCAGGTAAGTAAAGCGATAATGGCGACCACAATGGATAATGCGAGTAAAAAAAGTAAAAATCGGAAACTGTTCCACGAACTACATGTGCAGTACCACGCAACAGTTAGGTGAGCCCAAAAGTTTGAAATTATGTCTGGCAAGAATTTGCTTAGAAAATGGAATTAATAGATAAGTTTTGGATACAGATGCTAGTTTACACTGAGCCTAGCTGAACTAACTGCAAAATGCTCCTTTTTTATGTGTTTTTTGCAGCTATGCAATGCAGAAAACGCATATTGACGAGGGATTGTCTGTGTGTATGTGTGTGTCTGTGTGTGTCTGTGTGTTCGTCTGTACCAATTTTTCATCTCGAGACCTACAAAAGCTATGGGGCTGAGATTTTGGGAACTTAATCTACATGCATGTAGGGGCCCCCATCCCCAAAATGGGCGCTCTTACCCGCGTGGTACCCACGTAAGAGCCCGCTAAAGTTTTCTACGAGTAGGCTGCTAACTCGGGAACCAGAAATACTGGGAGGCTGAAATTTTAAGGGGACCTTCCTCGTCCAAGTGAGTATTAATGAGCTCAAACCCAGCCCCCGGATAAGCGTGGTACCCACATACGGGTCCGCCAAAATTTTCTTCGGGTAAGTCGCTAACTCGGGAATCTGAGAAGCTAGAAGACTGGTTTTTTAAAGGGATGTTTCCTAACAGTCCTGACGGCCAGTCTGAAACTTTTTTAGCTAGAAGTATCTGCCGAAAAAACTAGTACGACAAAAATCTGCGGAGGGCTATGCAAAAAATGCATCTTCGCACGGGCGGCCCGTGCGTTGACCAATTATTACAAATCTGCTGGCTTGCTTTTTCAAAATTATTTTGAACAATTTGATCTAAGGCAATAAACAGGAAAAGAAGAAACTAAAAGCTAATATCTGATTATAAGTTTTTCTCGTTTCAAAATTTAAAATTCCTCTAAATTTAAACCTTGGATCGCGAATCATGCCAGGAAGAAACACAAAAGCGAATTTACAGTTCGCTTATATGAACGAAGACTGTAGTGCTAAAAATTTTAGCTCCTTGACTGCAAGCGAAATTATAGATTCCTGTAAATATTCATTTCAGCGCAACTTGAATACATTTTCTCAGTGTAAGTTTTTTTTTTAGCATACTGTTCGCCGATATAGTCAATTTTACAGTACTCGCGGCTCAGTTGAGTGCTAAGGAATTGGTTCGAACACTGAATGAGCTTTACTCCAAATTTGACCAAGAAGCACAGGTAAAATTTCAAATTTGCGTTAAAAATTAAGACATTTGCGTGTGTAGTTTTCGCAAACGGCCTAGAAATATCTACCTTTGGACTAAGTTTCTCATTCTATTATGAGTTTTTGCGCTAAAATAGCAGCAGTCGGATCATTAATAGCATGAATGCTTCCTGCACTACGATTTAACGCATAGACTCATGTTAGCTGTGCTTTGAACTTTTCTTGGTCTTTTTTTTTATAATAATAGTAATAGGCTGGAGGTCAGTACTATGAGATGCAGCCAATCAAAGAATTAAATTAAAATTATTTTCGGACGTTAACTTTTCTTAAGTGTTGGATTTCCAAATCCTTTTTTCTTCCTTTTGCTAGCAAGGAATACTGATTATTTCAGAAACTGCAGTGCATGCGAATTAAATTTTTGGGCGATTGTTATTACTGTGTAAGCGGTATGCCTGTAAACAGGCCAAATCATGCCGATATGTGTGTTTTAATGGGTCTTGAAATGATTAAAACTATTAAGTAAGTTCTTTTACCGCATTTTGACAACAGTGGTTTTTTTTTGCGGATTAATTTAGTTTGATTTGACATTGAATCAATGTCTTCCTAAACATTCCTAACACTTGCTACCGCCTTTCGTACACTTCTCAAGCAGCGCTTAGAAAAAAAAAACAGCGATGGTCGAGCCAGTATTTGGCTATCAAAAAAGTAACCGCATAAATTGTGCGTTAAAAAATCAATTTTAAAATAATCACTTCAAAAAAGTTAAATTTGAGATGTTCCCGGTTTGTTATGTTTTTTTTCCAAATAATCAGTGCATAATTGACCTTCAAAAATAGAGGAAATTTGGTTACATATTATTCCAAATTCAATATTTTCACGCAGTATTTTTCACGGAACTGGCAGAGATGATACACTGTGAAGTAAAGCTACTGTCGAGTTAATGCAATGTTAAAACTAGGTCGAGCGTTCAAACTCCGTCGATAGGACGACCGATAACACTCACCATTCGTTCATTCGTTTCGATGATAAAATGGTACTGGTATATGCGAGGGAGTTAAACTAGCCGTCAGATTGCTTATAAGCAGCCCTTGAATGAAAAGGCCATCAACAGCCTTACCAGTGTGGGGCCTGCTACTGGCACTTACTACTCTCAGAAAACTTCCGAATGCCTCTGGCTATTATAAATAATTGGCCAACGCACGGGGTGCTTGTGCGAAGATGCGTTTTTTGCATAGTTCTCCGCAGTTTTTGTCGCTACCGGCATCGGTTTTTTCGGC